CTTCCTTGTCGTAAACAAATCAATGGAAATTTAAAATAGAATAGAAACTAAAGTTTAATACTTTCGTGAAGCCCATAATTCCGTGTATTGTGTGAAAAGAATAGGCACCCCGTCAGTGGATCCGGGAACAGTGGAGTAAGGGAGGTAACAGTGAGAGCAGTGGAGCCTTAGGTCACTGTGTCCTATAATAACTTTCATCTCCGTTCCCAGGACCAACAGCTCCTCAAAGTTTCCCAAGCTTGGCTTACATCTTTTGGAAAGAAAACTTTTCAGCATGGCGCCCCTCTCTTATGGAACTCTCAACCGCTTCAAATCAAACTCGCCCCAACCCTGGATTCTTTCAAGAAAGCCGTAATGACATTCCTTTATACTAAAGCCTACAATTGACTTTTTCCCTTCTCCTGTCAACAGTTTTAATGCACCATGAGCATGCATCTGTGGGTGCACACTGGCGCTTTACAAATATCCACTATTATTATATTATTAATAATAATATGAAAGTGAATGTGTTATGCACTGTTTTCCATGCTCAAAGCGCAGACAATCTGACTATTATTACCCCGGATAACTCAAGCTGCCTGTGAGGGGCTAGAAGTTTAATAGTCACATGACTTATCCCACCGGGTACCCATTTTCTGCTGGGTGAACAGAGGCAATTTTGAACGAACTCACTTGCCTAAGGTGAGACCACATGTATCACATGTGCTTCGTTGTGGAACAGGATTTAAGTCCTAGCTAGAAACTCTCAGGCGTCAAGATGCCAAACATGGCCACCAATCCAAGGACTCCCCTCGCCTAACGTTGCTTAACTTCAACTGATTTGTCACCTGAGCTCTATGCACAGAACCACACACAACACACTCGCTGTGATAAACTGTACTGAGTATTGAAAACAATGGCGTAGACACAGTGAGTGAGTGAGGTCTCACATAACTGTTAGCAACATTCCAGCAATATCACGGCGGGGGACACCAGAAATAGGCTTTACACATTGTAACGACGTAGGGAATCGAGACCGTATTTTCAGCGTGACGAGCGAACGCGTCAACCACCAGGCTACACCACTACCCCTAATGTCTTATGGAGTCAAGTACCCGTGCATGTCTGGGTTAAAATATTGATCTTCAGTAACCCATGCTTGTTCAGTAACCCATGCTTGTCGGGTCGTTGACACATGTCATCGGTTCCCAATTGCGCAGATCGATGCTCATGCTGTTGATCACTGGATTGTCTGGTCCAGACTCGATTATTTACAGACCGCTGCCATATAGCTGGAATATTGCTGAGTGTGGCGTAAAACTAAACTCACTCACTATGGAGTCAAGCGATACTCGTGTCTATAGTTTACTTGACAAAACGTATGCTTTTATTCAAATATCAGAACAGGTTTCCAGTTTTTCAAACGAAACAGCTACATGGACAAATATCATCCAAGTAGTTGCTACGTGGAGGCCAATGAGTGAGTCAGTGAGTTTAGTTTTACGCCGCTTTTAGCAATATTCTAGCAACATCACGGCGGAGGACATCAGAAATGGGCTTCACACATTGTACCCCTGTGGGGAGTCGAACCCGGGTCTTCGGCGTGGCAAGCTAACGCTTTAACCACTAGGCTACCCTACCGACCCCTAATGGCAAATGGATTACCTTAGACGTCGTACTGGAGAAAATTTCGCCCATATGACGACGTGCATGCGTGTGTAAATATACGTATGGCTGCTTGTACTAGCCCAGACTTAAGCTGGTTTTATAGTGCTAGCTCACTGAGATACCATGCCGCAGTGAAGCATGAATACCCCACTCAGACACATTATACTGACTCCGAGCCGACCAATCCATGTTGTACCTATTAATCCCGAGCCCCAGGCAGAGCCGAGCAAGTACCATATTGGAAAGTGTTTTGGTATGACGCTGCCGGGGATCGAACCCGCGACCTTTCGCTCCCTGGGCGGACGCTCTAACCACTACACCAGGGAGGCGATCTACCTGTAATGATGTAGAGGAATAATTCCATTTCGTAATAAAATATCCACCTTATGTCAATCTCAGGCTAAACTATGCTAAAACATTTTATTGAAAATATCCATCCATATTAAAACTTCCACAACTTTTAAATAAAATGTAAAAATTTGTATCACCTCAGTAAATAGTGATATAAACCACGTCGACTGGGATGATTGATGATTGAAAATATATCTAATTTACATAATTAATGCATTCGCCATTGTCAATGTCTACTGTACTATCATGCCCCCATCTATTAATAAATACCTATTATCTGTAAAGGTAAAGGTAAACTGAGAATTGAATTGAAAACTGACTATGAAATGAGTGACACTAAGCCCCACGTCTTCATAGCAAATCCCCAGCATGACGTGAGCATGTATTCTGTGTTTGTACAACACACATGACAAGCAGTTATTTGGAGGGTTTGAAAGACCCGTCACGAGATATCAATAGAGTTCGTTTTACTTCCAGAACGGACTACTTCAACCAACGGGTGGGTCCATGTTGAAATAATCTAACAATATGCACTTTAAACAGGGGTTTATGAAGACTTGCTGAGAGACCTGTACTCGTTCAATTACCAGTTCCATGGTAAAGTTTAAATATAACAAATGGGATTGCTTTGTAGTGGTAAATAATGTTGCATTTCATAAGATACAGTCAGAAGGAAGAAGCTTTAAATATAAGTTTACATTGCTAGATGTAATGGTAATCTATAAACAATATTTATTTTGTTTGCTGCTCAATGCCGCCCTCGGTGATGTTCCAGCTATATGACGGCGGTCTGTAAATAATCGAGGCTGGAAAAGACAATCCAGTGATTAACATAATGAGTATCGGAATCGGAATACGATGACGTGTATCAACCAAGTCTGTGAGCCTGATCACCAGATCCGGTTAGTTGTCTCTTACAAGCATGGGTTGCTGAAGTCCTATTCTAAACCTGATCTAACGTTAACCCGGTTATATGTAATATTTAAAGCTATCGGAAGAGAATAATCACTCACTCACTCACTCTCACTCTCACTCTCACTCTCACACTCACTCACTCACTCACTCACTCACTCACTCTCACCCTCACTCTCACTCACTCACTCACTCTCACTCTCACTTTCACTCCACTCTCTCACTCACTCACTCACTCTCTCACTCTCACTCTCACTCTCACTCTCTCTCTCACTCTCACTCACTCACTCACTCACTCACTCACTCACTCACTCACTCACTCACTCACTCACTCGTACTCGTACTCGCACTCGCACTCATTCTCACTCACTCACTCACTCACACACTCACACACTCACTCTCACTCTCACTCACTAACTCGCTCACTCACTCACGCGACTATTACCCCTACTAGTACAAACAGCCACACACTGCAGCAAACTGGGATTATAACGAACTCATTCGGACCACTATTTCTAGTTCGTTCCTGAGAGGCATTTAGAAGTAGGAGAGTTCTATGGATATACAACTTCTTTAATATAATATGAGCGACGTTTAGGTGTAGTTACTAACACCGTTATAAAGCTATTGATGTGACGCTGTGACATACAGTAAAGAAGAAGTTGTCATCCATAATATTTGCGTTTTATTAGATACAAATATCAACAAACAAATGCCAAACAAAACTAAGTTTCATGAACTCATCTTATCCCTGTGATTCATGTAACAAGCCGTGAATCTGTCATTGTAACAGAAAGGGCGTTATATATTGCTCCGGTCTATTATTATAAACACATAACAATTTGCGGTACAAAGCTTTAAAACCCCTTTGCATGAGAGTGTTTAAACCAGTTATCAACCAGTCAGGCTGTAGCTATTATTCAGGCGATGGGCTAACAAAGGATGTATTGTACCCGGGGTATACACGGGTCATCACATACCTGGAAGTTACCCATGCAACAGAGGAATGTGCAGCCGTGCCCCTGAGGTAATGGAAGAAAGCGTCATTAATAGAACAGAAGGCACGAGATAAAATTCCTGGCCCTTTGTTTCATAAAAGGTCCATTTAATCAACATAGCCATTGCATGACCAAGGCTCCGAATTATAATTAAGTTTATATTAATTTCTTGCGCTGTATAAGTTCTTAGTTGATGATGATGATGAAGATGATGATAGTTAATGTAAAACTGTCTACTGTCAGGTATGCATCATCAGTTATCTGCTTCTTGTCTAATGCGTTATTATCTGTTGAAACTCTTCCCATTTTATTAAAAAATGCATGTTAATAAACACCTTTGATTATTTACCCAATGATAAACAGATACAGGTACATTATATTTTAATTGTGGCATACCTATTTGGAATACGCCAAATTCATTTTTTGAAGAAAAAAAAAATGTCAAGCATAAATGCACTCAATTTTCAATATTTAAATTTAATCCCAAATTCAGATTTTCCTGATTAAATTTTCCTGTCAACTTTGGTTTTAAGTTCCCAATTTACACTTAATTACGCGATTACACGCTATTATTGAGGCATTTAAAAAGTTGGGAAGTACAATATAGAGAAACTTAATGGATAACAAGTAATTATTTCCTGAGTGCGTAGTTTCGATATAGTATGTATGACACATTCCTGCTTGGAAAGATATATGGACAATGTATGGATGAACAACTTCTTTACTGCTGTGAGAGCGACGTTTCGGTGTAGGTTCTAACACCGTTATCAAGCAAGTGATGAATAGTAAGGATAGAGGAGCATATATACAAGTTAGAGTAGATGTTCCTGCTTGACATAAATCTGTATCGAAACGTCGCACTCACGAAATATAGAAGTTGTTATCCAAAACGTTTGTCTATATTTTACACGTTATTTACATTCCCCATTTTAAATGCAGCGCAGCGTGAAGGCATTTTTAAAGTCGTCGTTTTACTGACGCAATAAAACCAATTACACTCATGGCCTATAATTTCCCATTGGGTGGGGGCAGGGGTATAGAGCCTCACCACCTGCAGGGGTGGCCTCGATACCCACTGGTGTAGAACAAGTT